CCCTTCTTTGAACTCCCATAGAATAGAATAAAGTGGAATAGGACTTGAGAGCTGGGAGGGACCTCATAGAACATTCTAGCTCATCTGCAGTTTCCAGAAGAAGCTGAAATTTAAAGTTAAGTGATATGCTGATAAGGCAGCTAGATGTCAAAGTGGCTAGAGCACTGGGCTTAGAGTCAGTAAGACTCATCTTCCTGAGTTCAAATTCAGGCCCAGACACTTGCGTGACCCTGGGCAAGTCATTTAACCCTGTTTGCCTCAATTTCCTCATCTGTAAAATGAGCTGGAGAAGGAAATGACAAACCATTCCAGTATCTTTGCCAAGAAAACCCCAAACGGTGTCACAAAGAGATGCATAAATATATCCATTTTTTAAAATGAAGTAAAAGCTCATCGAAGAAAAAAAAAGTGAGTCTAATATGGCAAAATCACTTCAAATAACAATAAATGCATCACATTTGTATGCATACATGTGGTGAAATTTGAGTTGGGAAATGTTAAACCTTGACAGGGGCACGATATGCTGTGATCATTATAAGGTAAATGAAGGCTCTCAACACAGACAAATTCCTTCATTGTGCTATTTGTTGCATTTGAATGTGAACTATGTAAACTTGAAGATAACCTTCAGGTGGAACTTAAAAATACCATTAAAATGACTGAATTAGGACTGATACACCCATGCTCATACAACTCATCAAGCAAATAGTTTTTATCAAGCACCTTCTGGTACCAGGTATTGTGGGAAGAACTGGGAATTGAAAAAAATTAAAATTAAACAGTCTCTGCCCTCAAGGAGCTTACTTTCTAACAGGAGAGGCAGCAGGTACATGTATACAGGAATATACAAAATAAGTACCAGAGAACATGGTGGGGAGAGGTCAAGAAGGCCAAGTCAACAAGCATGTGTGCCAGGCACTATGCTAAGCATTGGGGGATAACAAAAATAAAGCAATCACATGCCTCCTCTAGGAGCTCACATTTTAATGGGAGAGACAATGTGCAAACAACTATGTATGTACCAGTGTAAATGGAAGGCAATCTTGGGCTGGTTTGGGAGAGGGAAGGCACTAACAGTGAGAAGGAACCAGGAAAGTCTGCCAGCTTTAGAGGAAACTAAGTGTTCTAAGAGGTTCAAGGAACAAGGCAGTGTATTCCAGATATGAGGGCAAAGAAACAGAAATGGGAGAATATAAGTGAAACAATGTTAGTTTGGCTGGACCATTAGGGTACATGAAAGGGATTAAGGTCTAATGAGGCTGCAGAGGTAAGACGTAGCAAGGTTGTAAAGGGCTTTAAATGCCAGGGAAGCTTCTAGTTGATCCTGGAGGTGATAGGGAGCCAATGGAGCTTATTGAGGAGGAGAGCAATGTGGTCAGACCTGGCAGCTGAGTGGAAGATGAACTGAAGGGAGCAGTGAGGCCATTTAGAAGGCTATTCTAACAGTACAGGTGAAGGGGACCTAGGATAGCGCTTAGCCAAGACCAGGAGAACTCAAGGCTTCAGACCACACTGTGCTCTCCCCACTTGGCAACACTGTCTTCCTATTTACAGTTTGTTCAATAATGAGCTTTTAAGCCCCCCCTAAAAACAAAGCACAAAATCCCAAGGGCATGAAGACCCAAAGGGAGCCTTGCTAGAGGACAAGAGATTACATAGTCTGTTCACACAGGTAAGTAAATACAGAATAATTTGAGGACAGAAAGAATATTTATGTGGGGAGAGGGGGAGATGCTAAAGTAAGACTACAGACAAGAAGCTAAGCCTTAAATAATAGCCTGAAAGGAGGCCAGGGGAGAGAGCCTTCAAAGCGGGGGGGCAGTGAAAATATGACCTAAATGACTACCCCGAGGTAGGAGATGGAATACTGAGTCTGGGACACAGTTAATAACACACTTCAGTTCGAATGTGAATGTGGAGTGTGGGAAATAAAGCTGGAAAACTAAGGAGAGCCAGGAGGGCATAATTTTTTTTTTAATTAAAAAAAAGTAGTTTGTATGTTTTATTCAAGAAGAAACATTTGTTCAACTCCTACTCTAGGAAAGACACTGTCCAAGGTTCTGGGGAATACAAAGACAGAAACAGAGGGGTCTCTGCCCTAGGAAGCCACTGAACACTCTTTTGAGTTGGGTAGTGAGATAGTCAGACCTGTTACTTAGGAAGGTGACCGTTTGATAACACTCTTTTTTTGTTTGTTAGTTTCACATTCACCCAGATTCTGCCAGAATTAAAAACCTCAGCATCGGCAGGGACCTCAGCAGCCAGCTTGCTCAAGGCACTGAAGAAGAGGATCCCCACAAGCATCCTTCTGGACAAGTTATGCAATAAAATTTTCCCAGGGGTCCACCAATAAGGTACTTTGTCAATCACCAAATCTTAAGTAAATGGCAGTAATACAGTTGAACCAGAAATTCTCTTAGCACCTTGGGTCATCAAGCCTTTGCTAGGGGAGGCAACATGGTGGACTGGATAGAGAGTGCTGACTTTATTATCAAAGGACTTGAGTTTGAATTCTGCCTCTAATAGCTACTATTCATGTGTAACATCGGGCAAGTCTTTTTACTCATCTGAGTCACAATTTCCTCCTTTGTAAATGATGAGGGGGCTAGGTGGTGCAGTGGATAGACAGCCTGGAGTCAGAAAGACTCATCTTCCTAAGTTCAAAGCTGGCCTCAGACACTTGCTAGCTGTGTGACCCTAGACAAGCCACTCCACCCTGTTTGCCTCAGTTTCCTCATCTGTCAAATGAGCTGGAGAAGGAAATGGCAAACCACTCCAGTTATCTTTGCCAAGAAAACTCCAAATGGGGTCATGAAGTGTCAGACACAACTGGAAAATGATTGAACAACAAAATGATGGAGTCAGACTAGACTACCTTTGAAGTCCCTTCCAACTCTGTACCTAAAACCCTATTAACCTATGACATAGGGCAAGTTTCCTCCTTGAGCCTCAATTTCCTCATCTGTAAAATGATGGCTTCTGAGCCATCTTCCAGCTCTAGATACTATCAATTCTATGAACTACATAATGGTATCGCTGACCCTGGTCTTAGACAGTTCTCATTGTGAAAAAGTTTTTCCTAAAACAAAAGCTTAAATTTGACCTTGTATGATTTCTACCCATAGTTCCTAGTTCCACCCTCCAGGGTCAAGTAAACAATTCTAATCCCAGCCCTTCAAATACCAAGAGGCTTCAGCACTGAGCTGGAACCCACTTGGACCCCTGGAAGTGATGAGGATAAGAGCTAGACCCCAAAAAGGAAAAACCCTGGACTTTCCCATGTGGCCAAATCTCTGGTGTTTGCCTGAGGCTATAATCTCATCAACTGGCCTTTCATTGTGGCTACACCCAATCTCCCATCTCTGTTACCCTTAACCTAGCCTAGCCCTCCCTATGGCCCCCAGCCATTTCCCACACTTAATCCTAGCTAGGCTTCATTGTCCAGGTCCCAGGAGTTCTCTTCACCCCAGCTTACTGGCCACTCCCATTCAAATCTTCCTTAAACCCCTCCTCCAGTCACCCCAAACTACTTGGCCACTCCTAGATCATTCCCACAGTCTTTCTGTATATGAGGTCCATCTTGCCTCTGTTAAGGTGCTCAGATTCTTAGAATCTAGCCAATGCCTCACAGACTCACAGACTCTCAGATTCCTCAAGAGTCTGGTTAATATGGCGGATCTTTAATAAATATTGTCTTTGGCTGAAAGAAGGCTTGGGTCAAATTCATTTTGCAAGACCCGTGTGCCATGATCTCAGGGTCCCAGCACCCCTAAACCTCTAAACATCATCAGAAGTAGCTCAGCTAGGCTCAGCTCCACATGCAGAGTGCAAGGTTTGGAGGGCTTCTTGAACACCCCTATTACACCTAAATCCATCAAATCTCCCCTTCCTACACCTCTGCTTGTAGAATCTTCAAGCCCATACTCCTTCTAAATCAATAATACCCAAATACTACTGTCTAACATTTTCTGCCATTTCCTTTAGGCTCAGGCATGGTTCAAATCTAGGCCATCCTTGATTCCCCAGGGTAGAAGGCAAGACACACTGTGACATCCTGCCCTGGGAGTTGTCAGAGCTGGGAAGTCAGGGAACCTGGAGTCTAGTCCTACCATCTGCCACCAAAACCTGCTGTGTGGTTGAGAAATCGATAAAGTAATTATCCCTCTCTGGATTTATTTCCTCTAAAGTACAGGAGCTAGGACTGGAATCATAAACTGTCAGAGGGAGGAGGGGGCTTAGAGGTCACCTAGAACAATTGTCTCCTTCTAGCAAAGGGAACTGACTTGCCCAAAGTCTTATGTTAATGCTTTGATGAGTCTGTGATTTCATCTATGTGAGTACTCCCATGGCCCATCCATGTCTCCTCATCCAATGCCTCTTGTCCATGCCCTCCCCTACATCCCCCACAGGAGGTTTACCCAGTTTTCTGCTTTGACTTCCTCTAGCTGGCCACAGTGTGCTATAGTGGAAAGTGCCCTGATCCTGATGGTTTAGAGAAGTAGGGTCAAAATAGAAAGCTGCATATTGACTTGGAAAACCATAAGTTAATACTATCTATGTTTTATTGTATTTTTATTTTTTTTTGTTTCACATTTCCCAATTCCATTTTAATCTGGTTCAGACGCTCCGGGGAGTTTGGACACACCTGGGTGGATGGCAGGAAGACCTGAATTTAAATTGCTTCTGATGCCTATGACATTTATAACCATGACCCAGTCTCAGTTTCCTCATCTATAAAAGGGGGAAGGGTGGACTGGATGACTTCTAAAACTCCTCCTGGACCTAAATTTATTGGCCTGTGATCTCACTAGATGGAATGTAGTAAAGGAATTGTTTCTCCAATGCCTAACATGGTCGCTGGTTCATAGTAGGTGTTTAATAAATGTTTGTCAAGTGATTCAGCTACATTCAAATCCTACCTGTGATACTTCCTATATGGTGACCTTGGACAAAAGGGGTTGAAGCTGTGGTTGTTCATCCTTCATTTTCAAAAAGGAGCAATGACATCACAGGGTGATGTCTTTGACTTGCACGAGAATTGGATTTAAGTAGACGCTTTTGAGGTCCCTTCCGGCTCTCTGTTTATGATCCCAGGATCTCTTGGCCTTAGGTGGTGGTTTTGCATTGCCTAAGATCATTCTGGGGAGACCAGTTGTGTGACTTCATTAGACTAGGGGAAGTTTCCAAGAGGAAATTGCTTCTGCCAATGCAGTTCTGAGCCTGCTCTGCCACATTTCATCTTCTGCAGTTTTCTGAGGTCACTGAGGGGATGACTTGCCCAGAGTCATACATCTCAGATGCAAAATAGGAAGCCATTTTTTCCTGACTTGGAGGCCAGTTTTCCATCTGCTTCAGCCCACTGTCTCTCCTACAAAACATACACAAAGTAAACACAAAGTGATTTAGGCAGTGTAGACTCTCATATTACACACTGCTTTTACAAAATATTCATGCTCTCCAAGTCTCTGGGGCTTATTAATTACAAGTTTACAAGTGATTTGTTGGTCCTGCCTAGTGAACTGGATAGTATGAGCATTATTATGCCCATTTTAAATATAAGGAAATGGATAGAGATCAGGTGACTTGCCCAGGGTCTCAAAGACATAGCTGCCTCAATAGTGGTCCCTGGGGGGCACTAGAATGATCCAGGGGGGTGGTAGTAGGTTTGGCTGCAAGTGGGGGGTGTTTAACAAAAATCAGGGGGCAGTGGAAGCATAAGGAAAGAAGAGAAGAAAATTTTGAAAAACCACTCATAGATGTTTCATCTGTTTTGCCAACAGTTAAAATCATGGTGATAACATTACTTTCCAAATAAACACACAAATGCAAGTTATTGATCAGTGGTCAAGTCCACTGACAGGTCTTAACAAGCAAGTGTTGGTAGGCAAGTGTGTAGGGCATTGGCGCATTGTGGGGAAGTCCAGCATGCATTGGCAGGAATATGTGCAGATAATGACTTCTTTACAATAAGCAATATGGTTACATGATGTAATATTGTGTCATCAAAATTTCCATGCAGGTAAAAAACCACAAATTTACAACAAACTATTAAATTTAAGATACATCATTTTTTTTAATATATTTTTTGAAATCATGCAAATTTCAACCAAAAAAAAACCGTGAAAGGAAAAGTAGATTTCCAGGGAGGCACTGAGTAATTTTTTTTTAAAGGAGGCAGTCAGCCAAATAAGTTTGAGAACCTCTGGTTTAGACCATCTCTGAGGGCCTTCGACCCTGACTTTCTTTGATCCCACATAGGCAGCAAGCCATCCTTCTGAAGCTTTTGCTCTTGTCCCTATACTTCCCACAGACTCCTTCCCTTCTATGAGTGAGAAAAGAAAGAGTGGACAAAGACAAAGGAAGGGGACCTTTAGCTCTTTAGGGTCTATATCACTGAGCGAGGGACCTCAGCTAGGAAAGGATCAAGGGGTGGCCTAGGAACCAGACATGTGGTAGCTTTCACAGGAAACACTGCAGCAAGGACGTCTGGGTAGAACCTGGGGTCAGTGCCTTAGGGGGTCCTCAGTGACTGCCCTCCCAACCCAGTCCTTTTCTGTGCTGGCCACGCACAAGAGCAGCAGTTCCAGGTCAGTCAAGGACACTACCAATCACCTCTGTTCCCCACCTGACACAGTTTCTATCCCCCCTCTCTCTTGCCCTCCTTCCCTTTCTCTTTTACCACCATCCTTATCTTCCTCTTCCTCCTGGCCTCAATCTCCTCCCTCTTCTCTCTTCTAACTCATCCATCTGCTGCTCTCACAACAGTTCTGCCTCCCATAGACCCCTTTAAATGATGCCCATTGTGGGAAGGGGGAGAATAGGACAGTGACCTAGAGGGGTTCAGAGATTGGGTAGCCATTTGTTGGGGGTGGTATAGAGGTCTTTGTTGGACTAGATGATGGCCTGTGAGGCCCTTTTCTAATATGAGATTCTGTGAAGGTCCTCTGCCCCTCAAGAATTTCTCCAGCTGAACCCTGGAATTCCACCATTAGATGTCCATTGTGGGATATTGGGTGGGGTACAACTGGAAACAGAGATGCCAAGGAATAAAGGCAAGGGGGTTGGAGGGGTGTGCTGGGGGAGAAGAGAAGGAAACTAAAGTCAGGGAAAGAGGCAACAAGATATAGTGGACAGACCACTAGATTTAGAGCCAAAGAACCTGGATTCAAATGCTGACTCTAATATTTACTGCCCCCCCCATAGAATGTAAGCTCCTCAAGGGCAGGAACTGCTTTTTATTTTGTCTTTGTATGCCCAGCATCTATCTTACACATGCTAAGCACTTTGAACTAGCTTGACCCTTTGCTCAACACCCACACAATAGGTCAGAACCTACAGGATGGAGGAGGGACCAATAAGGGGAAGGAGTTGGGGAGAAAAACCCCAAGTTGCTGTCCCTAGGTGCTGATATTGGGTGCCCATTAACACAGAGAGAGCCCACCCAGCCACAACTCCAGCTGCTTCCAGGCCAGGAGCACTGACTTGCAAGCTGTCCTGCCTCAGCTTAGACTAGTCCTCTGCATCTTCCTCAGAAATAGAATGAGAGGAGGCAACACAGCCATGGTCTTGGTGATACAGCAGATGAGGCTTACCCGCCAGGCCGCCAGCTTTCTCCACAGTCAGAAGCATCCCATATTCCTACAATCAGTGGGAATCATCATATCCTAAAAATATGTCATGGTGTCAAAAGTGGATTAAGACTGTGAGAGGGAAGCAGAAAATATAGTCCTGTAGGAATAGAGTAGAATTTCCTATGTATCATTCTCCCTACTATGTCCTACTGGATTGGAAATTGTGGGTACCCAGGCAGTAGGGGATTTCTGGGTTCAAGATTAGATCTGAGGAATTGCCTCCTGAATGTCACCACTTCTCCACGGTCAACTCTGCACATAAGAACAGTAGGGGTGGCATCAGTGACCACTTAAAAGCCTTCAAAAGGGTATCCCTTAATGTCTGAGTCAGTAATCCTATATCTTTCAGCATACCCTTTCAGAGGCATATATGCTTGAGATTTGTATCAAATCCAGCTTGCATTCAAGAAAGTTAAAGATTCTTAGGTAAATCATGCTTTACCTGGGCTTTATATAAGTATGGAGATAGGCTGCATGGGACAAATATTTGAGTTTGAGGTCATGAGGAGAGGTGGGGAAATGTGAAGCCACAGGGCAATGAATTGAAAGGTGGTGGATAAGGAAAGTGGGAGGGGTGAAGTGAGGACACATAATCACAAGTGTAGATATTGAACCAGATAAAGTAGGGAGAGAGCTAGGAAAGGAATTCCAAGTTCTACTAAGCTGGACTAGAGCTTGGAAAGAGATGGAGCTGGACCTGGCCAGGGAGGATGAAGGAGGGGCTCAGGGTCCAAGGGTGTGCAACAGCTGAGTCAGGATACCTACTCCCATCAACTCACCCAACTCTCCAGGACACAGCTGTTCCTTCTCACCAATCTGGTGGAGACTGATAGGCAGGACTTCTAACAGTCAACATTGAAGTCAGTCCCAGCAAGGAGATAAAATTAGGGACAACCTCCAGCTTCAGAAACCTTCTCCTGGACCCATCTTCATCTTCTGAGGTGCCACCTTCTCCTGCATCCAGTAAGGCTGGACCACAGAGTGAAGGAACACATCTGTCCTACCACTCTTGGGCCCCAGGTGGGATCTCCATCACCAAGGTTTGGAGCAACTGGGGGCAAGTTATTCTGGAGTTTGGGAGAGGAAGGTCCTCTCAGCTCTGAAGGGAGAACTATGTACCTTAACTCATTCAGAGCTTTGTGCCATCCTCAGCTTTCTGACTCTTTTTCTCTAACTTTTCTCCAACCCCCAGCCACCCCCATATCTACCTTACTCTTGAATCTCCTTCTATGTTTTTTCCTCTGACTCTCTCCTCTTGTCCCCACATTGAGGTCGTGGTGTCTCTCTGAGGTATGTCTCTCTAACTCAGATCCTTTCTGTCCCAGGGCCTGCCCAATGGACCCACAATGACCAACCCCAAGATTTCCCAGCCAATATCTGAAATTTCTTGCCTTAGAAGCTGTCCCCTCCCCCCACCCCACTCCTCAAACACTCAAAGGGCCCTAGGGACCTCGGTGAACTGAGGATCTTTCACACAGGGAGGCCTAGGCAGCCTCAGCCTCTGGGGTGAGGGTGAGTCTGAAAGGCCTGTAACTCTGGAAGACGAAGGAGGTAGGGAGTAGGTGAGGGGGTGGATGGGGCTCCACTGTGAGTGAAGACAGAAATTCAGACCCTGGTCCTGCGACCCTTCAGATCACAATCTCTTTCTGTATGGTCTCTCCTTTGATTCAGAGTGGACACATAGCCAGGGTTTCAGATTTTATTGAATAAAACTACTTTTCCAGCCCCGCCACCAGCATTAGCTGAGCTCTCTCACCTCCGCCATCTCCACTGCCACTGGGAAAAGTGGGTGGTCAGACCAGGCTGGGTTCTGGACCCCGATACCCCGTCCCCCCAGGGATCACTCCCTTCTCTCTGCATCTGGCTTTGAATCTGTCGGCTGACCAGCTCCTGCATATCATCCTGAGGAAGAGAGGGAGACGATGGGTTTGTTGAGCGGAGGGCCTACCAGGGATGGTAGCAGAAAGTCCTGGCCTGTGGGCGCTCTGGAGTGATGCTGACGCCCTTCTCCTGGCATCTCCCCCCCCCGCCTCCCCAGCCAGACCCCCATACACATACACTATTATACACGCATGCCCTCAGCCTCCCCCTCGCCTACCTTCCAGGCCTCGACCTCCTCCATGAGCACCAGTTTCTCCTTCACCACCTCCAGCAGTTGCTTCTCCGTAGCTTGGAGTTTGGCTCTGCAGATGCCCAGTTCAGCTTCTACGGCCAGCTTCCTTTAGGGGGGGAGGGCGAGAAAGCCAGGCCTCAGCCCCATCCTAGTGCTTAGGGCCTTTCTCTCAGGCTGGGGCTGGGGCGGCAGGGGCAAGGAGGCAAAGGCAGGCAAGGGCTGGGGGTGGCAGGGGCAGGGGCAGGGGCAGCTGGGGGCAGTTCCACCAGGGAACCATCTTTCAGCCACCATTCAGACAAGACAACAGAGGCTCCAAGTATAGAGCGAAGACCCTGAGGTGACCTAATCCAACCCCTTTGTTTTACAAATAGGGAAATCAAAGTGGGGGGGAATTATTTCCCTAAAAATCTTTCATTTTCCTAAGTGAGTTTCAAACCATATGGTCCAGATAGAAATCTCAAAAATCCAATCTCAAACATCTGAATTTTTTCATTGTCATCTGAATGGGAAGCAAGCAGAGGGAATCTTAATCATTTCTGCCATAATTTATCTGGAAAAAGAAACTTTGCAAACAGGGGAGGAAGTCTTCTAAGGTCTCCAGGGCAGGCAGATGAGAACACCTCCAGTCCGGGGGTGTTAGGAGGGAAGAGAGGGAGGGGCTCGTTCAGAAAGACAAGAGCACTGTCTATCCTCCCAGTGCCCCGCTCTTCAGCTGGGGCCTCCCCCCTCCAAAGCCCACCAGGGCTCACTGCCCCCCCCCCTTACTTGGCTATGGCGTCATCCCGTTCCTGGGTCACCTGCTCCAGGGCAGATTTTACCTCAGCCTCCCCCAGGGCTCTGGCCACCTGCAGCTGTTGGCTCTGCTGTAAAGGAATGACAGACGTGGGGTTAGGATGGGGGAGTAAAGACGGGTGGTGAGGGTGGAAACAGCCCAAAGGGTCCTGGGAAGGGTCCTGGGCAAGGGAGTGAGTGCCTCAGGTTGGGGAGGGCTTCTTACCTGGCTCTGCTCTGGGCTCTGCCTGTCTGCCTGTGGTCCTGTGTGGCCCACCAGCCTAGTGTCTTTCTGTTCTCTCAGTGTCTCTGTCTGCCAGCTGAGCTGGCTTCCAGGAGAAGTGTGGTCACAGTGACCCTGTCCCCATTCCAGTTTTCTTCCTGGAATTTCCCTGGGGGAGGGGGAGACTTCCTTAAGCCATCTTCCACTCCCCCCACCACCTACAGCCCGAGTGGCATCGGAGCCTTGCCCCAGAGGGAAGAATACTTACCCTCCTGTGAGTCAAGGCTGACTTAGAGGGTGACCTGCCAGGACCTGAGGTTCCTGCTTTCAGGGTGGGGCTGAGGAAATACATGGTCCTTTAACCCTGACTTCCTGGTGGAATCACTAGGGCCCCACCCCTGCCCTCTCCCCTAGCTCTACTCCACCCCTGTCTAGGCCAGGCCTCACGGCTGGCCCTCCACCAGTCCCTTTCTGCTCACTCCTCAGCTTGTCCCATTCATTCAGCTCTCAGCCAGAGTTCCTCTTAGGACTAAAGGTGCTTTAACAGGAGGCTCTTGGAAACCAGAAAGCCTAAGCCCAAGCAAACGAATCTCTAAAGTGGTATTTCAGGTTGCTTAGAGGAAAGGTAGGAAGAGAACATTGTAAGCAGCAAGGCCTACACTGTGCTCTTCATGTCATCAACTGGGCACCTCCTTGGGACCCTGCGAGTAAGACCGGACTTTCCGCTCCCTGACCCTGAGAACTGTGTCTACCCTTAGACTTTGGTTATTTCCTTCCCCCCTAAAAAAACCCTTGCCCCTCACTCAGGGAGCTAAAGGGCTAGCTGGGTCCTCAGGCCTCGGTTTCCTTCCTTTATCATAAAGGGGTTGGATTGGATGACTTCTAAACTCTTCCAGCTCTAAATCCCATCTACAATCCTAAATCACCAGATCTCTCCGGGCCTCAGTTTCCCCATCTTTAAAACAGACGGTCACTGAGGACCCTTCAGGCCTTAGAGCTAGAATCCTATGTCTCTTCCCAGGCTGTAAAAGAGTCTGGCTTGGAACCCTAGCCCTCAGACGCCAAGCCTAGAGCTGTTTCCACCTCACCTGTGGGCAGGCCTTGCTTCCCTTGGGCTCCTTCGCTTTACTGGCCCTCAAAGCTCTCGGGCACCTCAGGCCACAGGAAGACATTAGCAAAACTGGCCCAAAATAACAGGGAAAGTGTGTCTGGCTGTGGCCCCTCTGGAGCTGACAAAAGTTACAGCAGGTATGGCCATAGTCCAGCATCTTTGGTACCTGGTGGCAGGATCTTCCAGGACAGACCTAAGAATGAAATTCTCCAACCCAAAGAAGAGTGCTCTTCTAGAGCAGTGGGAAGGGAAGAAGATGAGTATCTGTTTTTTAAAAATGATATCTCATTTGGAAAGAAAGCTACACTGTAGAAAGGAAAATGGAGGGAGGCTAGAAGTATAGCTGGTACCAGAAGGTAGAGAGGTAGAAAAACCACCTGTCACTCCTTCTATCCCAAGTCTGAGGTGATTTTTCCAAGGGACAGCCCTGAGATGCCGTGAGCTGAGTTGAGAGGTGTGACATCTGATCAGCTGAGAGATTTCTGAGTTGACAACATTGCCATGTGTGGGCATGGGTGGCAAATGCTTAGGGAGTGGTGGAGGGAGGCAACTGGGAGCTCCCTGGTACCACAGGCGAGTGGGAAAACCAGTCCCAAGTACGTCCCTTAAGTCCTAGTACCTGCTAAGAGCAGGCATCACCCTGATGAGATCATTCTATCCCTCTTTGGGTGAGCTAGGATCATAAATCTCTCAGAGAAAGAACTGTCATGTATTCCTTCTCCTACTAGACAATCAGTATTTAGTGGGAAGGAGCCAAGCTGATGAGAAGCGAGATGTTCCTCTTCCCCTTAAGAGCAATCAGAGGAAGTAGCTTTTATTCCAAACTCCTTATCATAACCCTACACTACAGACATTCGATGTGCACTAGATAGATATAATTATAGCCTGGTACCCCTTCTGGAGATAGTCCAGATCATATATCTACCTGTGCCCCACTCAAGCCATCAGAATTTATATTGGATGGCCACATCCCACATATTCTACATGGTTCTAGGACTTCATGATTTATGCAGTGATGTAAGGAAGAGAGGGGGACCTTGGGAGTTTGGACACTGTGTGTCCAGCAAGTCAGGTGCCTCCCCACAGGCTCTTTGTCCCAAAAGGCAGGTGCTCTTTCACAAGTCTACTCCTACAAGTGACTAAGACCAAAGGTTTGAACCAAGGAACAAATTATGGGAATGCTGGTATGAGAACAATTCCTGGCCAGCTTGCCTGACATGCTCCAAGCCCTAGCCCAGTTGTCCAAATGGCTTCTTAAATATCTGCCAAGGAAAGATGACCCTGCTGGCAAGAAATAAGCCAGAAGTCATCACTGATGCCAGAGCCACCAGGAGCAATGAGAACTCTTCCTTCCCCCAGTTTTCTAGGAACCTGGCTAAAACTGACCTGAAAGTGACCAGTGACCATGCAGATGGGTTTTCAACCATTGGGTGATTTTTAGGGCTGCTGCAGAATGAATTACTTCTAAAGGGATGAAATCTAGGTATGGTCAATCTGTATAGTAGGGCCACTATCTAGCAGAATTCCCTCCTCCCTCTTATAACACGGGTTGGGTTCCATTTTCCCTGAAAGGTAACAAAGCTGTCCCCAGCACTTGACTGACCCCAGAGGACATTGGCTTGAGTTGTGTTCCACTTGGCAGATTCCTGGTAACCTCTGGCCACACTGATGAGACTTCCTGGTCACCTAAGGTCATAAAAAGCCCCTTCCATGTGTGGTTAGACCATAGAGTCCCACCTCTGTGTTTAGACTTGGAGGATACTTCAAGACCATATGAGTCACCACATCCTGCCCTGCTGACCAGATACTCTTCTGGCTACCTCTACCCAAGCTGGAATATTCTTGTTCAATATCCTTTTCATGCTATGGCTAAGTAAACCGCCATTCCTATACCAAACCTAAACTGACAGGTTTAGGTCAGGACTACTCCTAACAATAGAGTTAAGCTGCTACTTGGGGCTTCTCTTTGAGTGTTTTCATGTTTTTCCCATAATTCTGTAATGTAGGTGGGCAGGGATTAGTATCCCCATTTTATTTTATTTATTTATTTATTTTGGCTAGGTAGTGGGATTAAGTGACTTGCCCAGGGTCACACAGCTAGTGAGTGTTATGCGTCTGAGGCTGGATTTGAACTCAGGTCCTCCTGACTCCAGGGCTCTATCTACTGCACCACCTAGCTGCCCCAGTATCCCCATTTTAGAGATGAGAAAACTGAGGTAGATATGACCATAGTCCAGTGTCTTTGTGACCTGGTGGCACAATCTTCTAGGACAGACCTGAGGGGCGAAGTGAATTGCCCAGAGTTTATGTAACTGAGAAGTCTACATTCAAAACCAGTCCCTCCAGATGCCAAACCCAGAGACTTTCCCATTATTGGCCTCAATTTCCAATTGTGTCCTCCCCTTCCCCTGTCCAAGCCGGGACCAGTAGCCAACCACTAAATAACCTGTTAACCTGTCAGCAGAGATCTCATCTGCCCATCAGCTCATCTGCCTGGGGAGGCTGTTTGTGACTAGCTACCCACACTGGGATCCTTTCAGAGGAAAGGGAAGTCCTAATACTCACAGCAGGATTTCTACTTCAGCCAAGAGAGTGTTGGGCCTAGAGTCAGGAAGAGCTCCTCAGACATCTACTAGCTACATGATTCTGGGCAAGTCACTTAACCTCTGTTTGCCTCAGTTTCCTCATCTGTAAAATGGGAATGATAATAATAGCACCCCCTCCTTCAGAACTGTTGTAAGGATAAAATGAGGTAATATTTGTAAAGTGCTTAGTACAATGCCTGGCCCATAGTAAGTGCTTATTATAAATGTTAGCTACCCTTACTGTTATTATTAAGTAAACAAAGCCAGGAAAACAAAATCCACAATGATTACAATAATGTAAACAGAGAGAACAATAACAAAACAGTTAATACTGAATGTTGTGAAATTATAGTGGCCAAATTTTACCTTGAAGAAGAAAGATGTAGCTCCCATCCTTCCTTACAGAGGTGGGGCACTATGGATGTAGAATTCTGCATACAGTGTGGTACATGTTGACATGTCTTAGTTTTACTGAGAAGATATTTTTTCCTTTTTTTTTAATTCTTCACTCTAAAGCAGGGGTTTTTACCCTTTTTATGAGCCATGGATACATTTGATAGTTTCCCAAAGCCTATGGACCCCTTCTCAAAATGCTGTTCTTAAATGCATAAAATAAAACACTGTTGGATTACAAAGGAAACCAATTATATTGAAATACAGTGATTGAAGGGCAGCTACCTCGTGCAGTACAAAGAGCACCAGGCCTGAAGTCAGAAAGCCTCATCTTCAGTCAGTTCAAATGTGGCCTCAGACACTAGCTGTGTAACCCTGAACAAGTCATTTAACCCTATTTGCCTTAGTTTCCTCATCTGTCAAATGAGATGGAGAAGGAAATAGCAAACAACCCCAGTATCTCTGCCGAGAAAACCCCAAATGGGGTCAGGAAGAGTCGGATATGACTGAAAAACAACAGGGATGAAAAGAATTTTTTTTAAGTTCACAGACCCCAAATTAGAAACCTCTGCTTTAAGGAATGGTGGCTCTCTGGAGGGGGTGGGGTGGGGAAGAGAATATAGATTAGGACATATAAACTGTAAAAATGAAAGATATCAATAAAAATTTTCAGATGTTTTTAAAATAAAGTGTATTCTTTGGTGGAAAAAATAGTTGAGTTGTTAAACCTATACAACAGTGAATGGTGTGTTCAGCAGACTCACAAAAGAGCTGGTCGTTAAATTATTAGTGTGAGCATTTATGCTTCAGAAATGGGAAAATGCTACTACAAATAATTATTATTTTGTTGATTTCTAGACTTAGAAAAATGACGTAGAAAATGTTAAAGATGTGGATTAAACTTAAAAGTGTGTCTCTTGTACTTTTTTTCCCCCAGGAAGCAGGTTGTTAAACATTTACCAGCACAACCCTGCCTATAAACCTGTGCTGAGCCGCAGAACTTAACCCCAAACTGTGAAATAATCAAAGTAGGACTTTATCCCTCCAATATCCTCCTGGCACCCTCACCTGATTCCCACAGGGCTTTGCGCCCCACCTCCACCATGACCCCACATGCTATATTTAAACCGATAAGGGCTTTAGGTGTTCTCTCTTCCAGGGAATGTTTGCTCAGTGCAAAAGAACTCTGGAAGATCAAAAAAAAAACCCTTCAAGACCCAAAGAAATAAGTGATAGCCTTGGAATTCAGTTCAACAAACAGCCCCCATAACATTCAAGTTCCATAAAAGATACTCAGAGATCCCATAGGCCAGCAAACTTTTTGGCCTCCAGACCCTTTTACATGCTTACAAATTATCAAGGACATGCCAACGAGCTTTTGTTTTTATCAATATTTACCCTATTTGAAAATAAATCATCATCGAATTTTTATAAAAATAGTTTTAGCTTTGTGAGCCCCCAAAAGGGTCTCAGGGGTCTCTGGATGACATTTAGGGTTTCTGCTTGTCCAGCCCATATGTACCCTTCTTCCTCCTGTGCCTTTATCCATCTCACTTTCCTCTTTCTTTCCTCCTCCCTTTCCCAGCTCTCCCTTTCATCTTTCCCGTCTTAGCCCCACTGAGCACCAGTCCACCTGCCAGCACTTAGCCCAGTGCCTGGGACATAGACCCTAGTTCATTGACTGACAGGTGGGCAAGGAGGGGCTGCACTGGGTCCAGAAAACCCCCTACCATAGGGCAGCCAGAATTCCACTTGAAGGTTGGCTTCTGTTATCTTATCTCCTACTCACTCTCTTGGTTTCTGATTGACTTTCTAAGTCATTACAAGGTCAGTCACCTTGCTTTCCACGATTCTACAGGATCACCTTTGTCTAAAGGTGCCCTCCTGGACTAGGCTTTACCTGCATGGCTGGCCCAAGCCCAGAAAACTACCGGAAAAGGCCCAGAAACCTCCCTTACCACATTCCTCTTGCAGGGACAAGAAAGAAAAATGTCTCACAAGGTCACATAGGAAGACCACCATAGTTCCCACCAAGAAACCAGCAAGAACTCTGAATCTCGGATTTCTATCACTTCATCACCACCCTTTCCTCCCCAATGTGCCTTTTGAAAGAGACTCCTTGAGGGCAAGAACTTTTTTTTTTGCCTCTTTTTGTATCCCCAGTGCTTAGCACTAAGCCCGACACATAGTAGGTGCTTAATAAGTGTTTACTGAAAAAGTGAATGTTGAAAACTAAAAATAAATAAATACTTTTTTTAAGAAAGAAAAAATAAGTGTTTATTGAATGAATGAATGAATGAATGAATGAATAATGAATAGAGCTCTGGATCAGGAATCAGGAAGACCTGGGTTATAATCCTACCTCGAGCCCTTACTAGTTTCTTGACCCTGGGTCACTGTTTCCTCATCTGTTGTATGAAGGGGTCAGACTCAATGGCTTCTAAGTTTTCTTCCAGTTCTAATTCAATGATCCCTAAGCCTTTACCTCCTTTTCCTTAGCAGACAGAAAGTGTGGCATAATAGATTGAGTACTAAACCTAGCATTAAGAAATACTTCTGTTCAAAGCTTGCAAGTGACTTTTCCCAACATTGTGACCACTGGCAAGCCTGGTCTTTCTCTGAGATTCTTCTTCCTCCCATCTGTAAAAAGGGAATAATAACCCCTGGAGAACTTAATGTATTGTTGTTCTCCTTAACTCTCTAAGAGGACCAATGACAGGGCATGTCTTGACTTGCACATGAATTGGATTTCAATGAGGCAGCCTCACTTTCTCCTCCAGGGTCATCACAGTCCAGTGGCAAGACAAAAGTCAAGACCACTGGCAATGGCCAATGGGTGGGTGAACTTGGCCTTTCTAAATTCAGGTCTTTCCCAGTTCTCAGTTTGTCTAAGGCCACACCCACTCAAAGACTACGGGCTAGATAAGAATTGAGACAAAAGATGGCCCAATTTGCACCATAAAGACACCAATCTGGGAGGGAAGGACCCTCCAACTTTCTGACCAGAACAGAAAACAAGTGTTTTACAAGTGTTTACATTCATTCTAAGCCATCTACCCTAGGAGGTAGACACTCTTATTATCCCTGTTTTATAGATGAAGAAACTGAGGCAGGCAGGTGTTGTCTGAGACCAGATTTGAACTCAAGTCTTTCTGACTTCAGTTCTACTCCTCTATTGAGCTGTCTATATCTCCCTTTGCCATTAATTGGCAGGCATTTTTACATGACTTTTTTTTCTTTTTCTCTAAGTTGTCTTTAATTTCTGATTTTTTTTTTGTTTAATATGAACTAAGGTTGACCATAAATGCTTTGGGATTTAAATCTGTTAGCAAATTGTGCATAGGGAGAATTGGAATGGAGGAAGCCAGTGACTAGCTTGGCATACACAGAGATAATCAGGACAGATTTAATTTAGGACTCTGCCTAAAACATTAGGATTTCCCCTCAATAAAAGAGTGAAAGAGAGATTTTTGAGAGTTTGATTCTGTTAATAACTTGAATAAGTTCCTAAATAGCAAAGATGAACCATTTTGCTGTGGACATTTTATCCCTGGGCTAGTCATGAGTAAGCCAAGTTCAGGTAGCATGAAGTGACAACGCCATCTGCTGGTTACAAGTAAATATCTCACCATGCTTTTTCCCCACTCTCTGGAATTTTAGATATTATTGGGTTTTTAAAGCAATATTTCCTACATTATCGTTCACATGTGCATTTTAATGCCACTTTTTCCTGATTTTTCACTTTTAAAATATTTTATATTAACTCATTTTCCTTTATAACTAGAGTTTAGAATTGAAGTTAGCTTGACTTTGACTCTTTTTGAAGAATATTATTGTATATTAGAACTTTTTCATTTGTTTTACATTTGCTAAGTATTTTCTTTCAATTTTATTGTGTAATTGTACAATTTATTGTACAATTCCATTATTTCCTCTAATGATTTTTTTCCTCTTATGATATTTTAATTTTTCCCCTTCTAACTGAAGTTATCCATTAGATTTTCTTTGAATGATATTTTATTTTGGATTGTTTATTTTTTTCAATTCTTATCAGTGTACCAGTTACCACTACATTCTGTCTACTACGTCTCTATGTTGCATTTGTACACTAATGCTTGTTATTAGATGTAGCCAAAGAGAACTCTAGCTGGTATATAATTGGATGCTGATGGGCAAGCAGAATGCCATTGCTGTCATAGCTGTTTATTTGCATGTTCCCCTTTGTAGACACTTGCTATTGCTTTTATTGCTGCTAATTTGCATAATGTCTTACTGATATTCACTGAGTTTTGAAACTTGGTTTACTTTTTTGATCAGTTAGGAGATAACCCTTTTTGTGTGTTGTTCAGTCAATTCAGTCATGACCCCATTTGGGGTTTTATTGTCAAAGATACTGGAGTGATTTGCCATTTCCTTCTCCAGCTCATTTGACAGGTGAGAAAATGAGGCAAGTAGGCTTAGGTGACTTGCCCAGGGCCACACAGCTGATAATAAGTATCTGAAGTCAAATTTGAACTCAGGAAGATAAGTCATCCTGAGTCCAAGCCCGGCACTCTAGCCACTGTACCACCTAGCTGCCCTGGATAATCCTTTACTGATTGGTTAAATTCTAGTATTGATCTTTTGATGAATGTCAACATTCATATGGGATTACTGATACTTGAAGTAGAGCTTGTATAGAACTGAGGGTATTTATAAAGTATTAAAAGGCAAAATACAGGAAATGGGAGACCACAGAATAACCTATTCTGAAATGAGGTTAGGAAAAGCCAATTTTGTAAGTTAACCAGACTCAATGAATCACTCAGCCACATCTGACAAAATCCAAATAGAGATTGGAAGTTGGTTTACAGTCAGATATTGTAGAAAAATCATAGCAATACCAAGTATGGGGAATATACATGTTAGGATATACACTAGGGTTCTCACTCAGATAGGAAGCTGAGACAGGATTGTAGCCATCAGAATCAGTCATCTCATCAGACACCAGGCATGTGAGGGATGCTGAGTCCCATATTGTTTTCTCTGTATCAGAAAGAGATGACTCACTTGTGCAAAAGGTGCTGGATGATTCCCCAAGTCCTACAGAGGAACAATATTTTGTGTCAGGTAAGGTTGATTCCCTGGATTGTGGAGAGAAACCTCTCTTGTGGGCAGGTCTGGGATTAGATATGTCATAGCAAAAGGACACTACTGGTCCAAATTAAGAATTTTCTCAGAAGAGGACTCCTTTATCTTGTGGAGAATGACATTGATGGGAAATCTGGATTACAAGTGTGCCAAAGGTACTATAGAATTGGAAAGCCTCTAACATACAATAGAGGAACTGAGTAATGGTGAGACTCAGTGGAATGACTTAAAGACATATGGGGGGGGCCTGATGTCTATTTAACCTAGACATCACATGGCAGGCTCATTTACCAAAACCTGAGAAGCATTTTAGGGGGGGCAAAACACCAAGATCTTATGGAGAACCCACCAGGTATTGAAGAATTGTTGGAGTCAGGGCACAAAATGGAAAAAAAAAAATCTCAAAGATATGAAGAATAATCCCGATTGGGAAATCCCACTTTGAAATAGATTAGGAGCCCAGTGCATGGGCTAAAGAAACCACTAGAGATTCAGAGCTGAAGGCAGAAGGCCTCAAGAAACCTTTTGAAGGAGGGTACCATGGACAAAACTGGTCCTGTCAGAAAGGTCCTAGGGCAAGGTTAATAGAGAAAACAGACTGAGAACCAAGAACTGCCAATGGGAGAAAATAACAGGGATGGAATTCTCTTCAGTCAGAACTGCAGAGATGATCCTATGCAGATCCCTTGGAAGAGACTTGGGTCTCAGAAGCCCCAGGAGCTAGGGGCCCTAGGATCAGCTTGGGGAAAAAAGAGAGATAGCCAAGGAAGGAGATCACCCAAACCCTCCACCTCACCAACAATTCCTAATGTGTTTTTTCCATCTGGGTTCGTGGGACCCCAAACAAAGGTAAGAGTGAAGGCCGAGGATGTAGACTGCTGTCTGGGCTAATGAAACCCAAGTGAGCAATATGTTCCAGTCATTCTAGGAGAGACATTTGAAGAAAATGCCTTCGAAGCCTCTAAAACAGGGCTT